CCGCCGACTCGCCCTGCGCCCGTGGCACACGCAGAGCCCGCGGAGCCGCGGCAGGCACGGGATTCCGGGCGCGCCTCCAGCCCACGCCCCGGACGCGCTCTCGGGCTGGAAAGCGCTCGACGCGTCCATCAGAGGGAGAGCGAGGACCGCATTACCGTGTCCAGCCGCAGGGTGGAGCCAGCCGCGGCAGTAAACGCGCCTCCCTCTCTGCCCGAGTGACGGGATTACCGAGGAGGCAAGAGCACGTGACAAAGGAGGGAAAACCAACAGAAAAACAGAGGTAACCCCAGAGTCCTAAAGAGACAGCACCTGAAAAACTGCACCGTGGCACAAACCATGGAAGCCTCCCAGAACGACTTGCCCCGACGACAGACAGCTACAGAAATCAAAGACTGGATGGAGAAAAGCAAGAAGTGACACTCTGAAACTGTAAAGTTGGCCAATTAAAAAAAATCCTATTAGGAAAGAATGGAAATAAAGAGTTTCATCCTCAAAATAACAAACTAACAAACATAGGGAGCAGATTAATCAAGCAGAAGAATCTCAACAGTTAAAAATATAGGGAAAAAAACCTCAAAAAGAAGCCGCAAAGCCTCCAAGAGATGTGTAATTATGTCAGAAAGCCAAACTTACACCTAATTGGTATCCTTGAAGCAGAAAGGGAAACAGAGGCCACCTTGGAACAAGCATTCCACGAGGTCATCCAAGAAAACTTTCCTCATCTCACCAGATATGCAACCATTCAAGCACAAGAGATTCAGACAACCCCCACAAGGCATCACATAAGAAGACCAAACCCTAGACACATAGTAATCTGCCTACATAAAGTAGGTATGAAAGAAAAAAATCCTAAAGCAGTGAGAGAGAAAGGTCAGATTACCTACTGAGGAAGATCAGTCAGAATTGCTCCAGACTTATCTGCAAAAACACTACAAGCCAGAAGGGATTGGAGTCCAATTTTTAAAGTTCTTAAAGATAAGCAATTTCAACTAAGAATTGTTTATCCAGCCAAGCTAAGTTTCATTAAGATCCTTCCCAAACATCCAATCCCTAAGAGAATATGCTGATTAGCTCCAGATTAGCTCTTCAGGAGATGCTTAAGAAGGTGTTGAGCACAGGGGGGAAAAAAGTATATCACAAAAGTATAGGCAAACACAGACTTAACAGAGCATACAGAGCACCCACAAAAATAAACACACACACACACACAAATGAACACACACAGAGAAAAGTTAAAAAAAAAAAAAAGCAGAATTCTAAGAGCCTTGAGACGGATACTCTCACATTTCAATAATCAGCCTGAACATGAATGGACTAAATGCATCACTGAAAAGACACAGAGTAGCAAACTGGATTAAAAAATGCATGATCCAACATTCTGCTGCCTCCAGGAAATGATTTTTTTTTTGAGTTGGAGTCTCACTCTGTCGCCCAGACTGGAGGGCAGTGGCTGCTCCTGGCCACCGCAGCCTCGACCCGCTGGGTTCCAGCGATCCTTCCGCCTCAGCCTTCCGAGTAGCCGGAATTACAGGCATGTGCTACCACGCCCGGCTGATTTTTTGATTTATTGTAGAGATGAGGTCTCGCTGCCCAGGCAGGTCTCGAACCCGCGGGCTCAGGCAATTCACTCACCTCAGCCTCCCAAAGGCACGGGATTACAGGCTGAGCCACTGAGCCCGGCTGGAAATGATATTTTTGAGTCTATGGGTGTCATTTCACTGCAAAGGACACCCATAGACTCAAAGTGGGAGGTGGAAAAATGAACTTTCAGGTGAACAGAAAACAAAAGAAGGCAGGATTAGCTATTCTAATATTGGCCAAAACAGTCTTCAAGCCATCAAAAGTTAAAAAGGATACAAAAGGACACTAAATAATAAAAGGCTCAATCCACCAGCAAGAAACATCCATTCTAAACATATATGCACCCTACACAGGAGCATCAGGTTTTATAAGTCAACTACTAAGTACACTAAGAGAGGACACTGACCCTCACAAAATCATAACTGGAGACTTAAATATCCTTCTATCAGTTCTAGATACACCATCGAGGCAAAAATCAATAACGAAATCTGGAACCTCAACTCAATGCTTGATCAAATGGATTTAACAGACATCCACAGAACATTTCACCCCAAAACTACAGAGTATACATTCTACTCATCAGCAAATGGAACATTCTCCAAAACTGATCACATTCTTAGACATAAATCAAGCGTAAGCAAATTCCAAAAGGTCAAAACAATACCATGCATCTTCTCACATCACAGTGGAATAAAAATAAAAATCGCCCAACAAGATCTCCCCACACAAAGTCATGGACAAACAGTCCACTGCTGAATGACTCCTGGGTCAACATGGAAATCAAAACAGAAACAAAAAGATTCCTGGAAACAAACAAAAACAAAGACACGTCAGGATCTCTGGGATGCCATGAAAGTAGTGAGTGTTAAAAGGAAAATTTATAGCATTGCACACACACATCAAGAAAACAGAAAGATCACAAGTAAACAGCCTATCATCATACCTAAAGAAGCTAGAAAGGCAAGACTACCAAAATCCTAACTTCAGCGAAAGAATCCAGATCACCAA